TCATGTGGCCTTCAGATTAGCTCAAGAACAGTGCGCAGAGAGCTTCATGGAATGGGTTTCCATGGTCGAGCAGCTGCATCCAAGCCATACATCACCAAGTGCAATGCAAAGCGTCGGATGCGGTGGTGTAAAGCACGCCGCCACTGGACTCTAGAGCAGTGGAGACGCGTTCTCTGGAGTGACGAATCGCGCTTCTCCATCTGGCAATCTGATGGACGGGTCTGGGTTTGGCGGTTGCCAGGAGAACGGTACTTGTCTGACTGCATTGTGCCAAGTGTAAAGTTTGGTGGAGGGGGGATTATGGTGTGGGGTTGTTTTTCAGGAGCTGGGCTTGGCCCCTTAGTTCCAGTGAAAGGAACTCTGAATGCTTCAGCATACCAAGACATTTTGGACAATTCCATGCTCCCAACTTTGTGGGAACAGTTTGGAGCTGGCCCCTTCCTCTTCCAACATGACTGTGCACCAGTGCACAAAGCAAGGTCCATAAAGACATGGATGACAGAGTCTGGTGTGGATGAACTTGACTGGCCTGCACAGAGTCCTGACCTCAACCCGATAGAACACCTTTGGGATGAATTAGAGCGGAGACTGAGAGCCAGGCCTTCTCGTCCAACATCAGTGTGCGACCTCACAAATGCGCTTCTGGAAGAATGGTCAAAAATTCCCATAAACACACTCCTAAACCTTGTGGACAGCCTTCCCAGAAGAGTTGAAGCTGTTCTAGCTGCAAAGGGTGGACCGACGTCATATTGAACCCTATGGATTAGGAACGGGATGTCACTTAAGCTCATATGTGAGTCAAGGCAGGTGAGCAAATACTTTTGGCAATATAGTGTATGTATATATATGTATATATATATATATATATGTATATATATGTATATATATGTATATATATATATATATGTATATATATGTATATATATGTATATATATGTATATATATGTATATATATATATATGTATGTATAAATATATTTTTTTTATGTGTTGTCACTTTTTTGAACGGTATGTTATGGTAAATTATAACAGGCTTTCTGTTTCCTTGTCTGTTTTGTATGCAACACATTTTCATGGAGGATTTTTAGGTTGCATGGGAGTTTGACCAACCAGTCTACATGTTTTTTGTGGATCTAGAGAAGGCAATCGACCGTGACCCTCTGGGGGTCCTGTGGGGGGGTACTCCGGGAGTATGGAGTACCAGGCCCTTTAATAGTAGCTGTTAGGTCTCTGTACGACCGGTGTCAGAGCCTGGTCGGCATTGCCGGCAGTAAGTCGGACTCGTTTCTGGTGAGTGTTGGACTCCGCCAAGGTTGTCCTTTGTCACCGATTCTGTTCATGACTTTTATGTACAGAATTTCTAGGCGCAACCAAGGTGTTGAGGTGTTCTGCTTTGGTGATCTTAGGATTTCCTCTCTGTTATTCACAGATGAAGTGGTTCTATTGGCTTCATCAGGGTGTGATCTACAGCTTCCACTCGAGCGATTCGCAGCTGAGTGTTAAGCGGCCAGGATGAGGATCGGTGCCTCCAAATCCGAGACCATGGTCTTGAGCCGGAAAAGGGTAGAATGCCTTCTCCGGGTTGGGGAGGATGTACTTCCACTAGTGGAGGAGTTTAAGTATATTGGGGTTTTGTTCATGAATGAGTGGAAGATGGAGCGGGAGATCGATAGGCGGATTGGTGCGGCTTCTGCTGTGAAGCGTGCACCGTACCGCTCTGTTGTGGTGAAGAGAGAGCTGAGCCAAAAAGAAAAGCTCTCAATGTACTGGTCGATCTACGTTCCTACCCTCATCTATGGTCATGAGCTTTGGGTCATGACCGAAAGAAGGAGATCCCTGATACAAGCTGCTGAAATGAGTTTTCTCTGTAGTGTGTCTGGGCTCTCCCTTAGAGATAGGGTGAGGGGCTCAGTCATCCAGGGAGGACTCAGAGTAGAGCCTCTGCTCCTCCGCATCGAGAGGAGCCAGTTGAGGTGGCACTGGCATATGATTAGGATGCCTCATGGACTTCTCCCTGGTGAGGTGTTCCAGGCACGTCCCACTGGGAGGAGGCCCAGGACACGCTGGATGGACTATGTTTCTCGGCTGGCCTGAGCGTGCCTTTTGGTTCCCCCAGAGGAGCTGGCCCAAGTGGCTGGAGAGAGGGACGTCTTGGCCTCCCTACTAAAGCCGCTACCTCTGCGACCCAACCACGGATAAACGGAAGAAGATGGGATGGATGGATTTGATTTATAGTTTCCCTAATCACTTTATTCCAACATTTTTCCTTTTAACTTTTTGTAGCCTGTTATAAATGGACAGCTTTGTTGAAACGAGACAGCTAAAATTAGATAAATCAGGTGTTTTTATTGAATCACCATCAGGATAACGGCATACAAATTTTTTCCGGTTAGAAAGCAGTTATAAATAATTTTATCATTCATATTTGACTGGCTTATTAGCATATCAGAGCTGGGGTGCTCCAGAAATAGTTCCCTGGACCTATTTGTATATTAGTGTTTTCTCCTCACATGAATAATACATTGTGGCTGTATTTATTTATTTTTGTAACAAAAAGGTGTAAAAAATAACAGCAGTAGCAGTTGAATTATTTTTATCTCTTAAAAGCACACTTTCTTTCTTTATACTTTCAGTAACAAAGCTTAAACAAATAAGTGCTATAATGACAACTCTTTATTTTAAATGGAATATAATTTCTCAATCATAACATAATAAATTGGGAATATTTTAGTAATGATTATCCCAAATAGGGTGATGTAGTTTGTTGAATTTTTGAGTTAAATCTTGCAAAAACTTGTTAAATAAATGAAGCTCTCACCACATGCTTTCTTAGGATAAAGAAAAGATGCAAAGCAAATGATAAGACTTAGAGGGGTTATCTTTTAGAAATGTCCATCTGAACTGAATTTGTCCAAAGTATTGAACTTTAGTGTCTATAATTAGATCTGATTCTGACTGTATAATTGGATTAATGTTATTTTACGAGTAATCTGTCTTAAAAGTGTCTAAACATAACGCTGTTGAGAATTGGTGCTTTGTGATTTAACCCAGTAGTGTTAGATGTTTGTACTCTCTACTGTGTGTATTTTTACTGCATTCTAACCTCTCAGGGCAAAAAAATAAAATGAAAAAATGCATATATTGGATTAATCAAGTATATCTTTGATTTCACAGGTCAAGTTTGGAAACACAACCTTCAAAACAGATGTTTATCCCAAGTCCCTTAATCCACAGTGGAACTCAGAATGGTTCAAGTTTGAGGTATAATATGGATTAGTTATTAAAGGGGACTTAGCTGTATAATAAATGCATCTAATTACCTTTACATAGTTTCTGTTAATCTGAACAGGGCCTGTTTATCTTCTATTATTTTACCCACTACTGCTGTGTAGGTTGATGATGAGGACTTGCAGGACGAACCCTTGCAGATCACAGTGTTGGACCATGATACATACAGTGCTAACGATGCCATAGGGAAGGTTTACATTGACATCGATCCGTTGCTGTGCACTGAGGCTGCCTCTGTCATCTCAGGATGGTTTCCCATCTACGACACCATTCACGGTAGAAATACTTCTTTGATTAGAATGGACGCAGTTGTGACGCAAGCTACTTTTCATTACAGTGTCCTTGTTATTTTTCACCAGGCATCAGAGGAGAGATCAACGTGCTTGTAAAAGTGGAGCTCTTCAACGACTTGAACCGTTTCAGGCAGTCCTCTTGTGGGGTCAAGTTTTTCTGCAGTATGTCTTTTATTTCACAAATATGTTGTTTCTTTTTTCAAAGTAAGATCAAGATAAAATAATTGCCTTTTGAAACAGAACTTCCTTTTCACTTGGATTGCTGTTTGTCATAATTGCACCTGCAGCCACATCTATTCCACGGGGCTACCGAGCGGCAATGGTCCACGGGTTTGTAGAGGAACTGGTGGTGAATGAGGACCCAGAGTACCAGTGGATAGACCGCATCAGAACACCTCGGGCATCCAACGAAGCCCGTCAGAGACTCATCTCTCTTATGTCTGGTATGAAAGCCCGATTCTAATGATCTTTGGTCTGGGACAGGAGGAATTTGTTCACATCTTTGTGCATTTCTCTTTATTCAGGAGAGCTGCAGAGAAAAATAGGGCTTAAAGTTCTGGAGATGGGTGGGAATGCAGTAGTGGGCTACCTGCAGTGCTTTGACTTGGAAGGAGAGTCCGGCCTTGTGGTCCGGGCCATAGGTACCGCCTGCACTCTGGATAAAATCAGCTCTGGAAGCTTCTCGAACACACACACGCACCCTAACACAGCGCCCCCATCTAATGCCTGCAATTCCCCATCTAAAGACGGAAAGGAGTGAGTATAAGCCGAGAACAGTGGCATGGATCCTACCTCAGATCATGTGTGTGAGAATGATGGAAAGCTGTGTGTGCATGAGAGAGGGACGGTGTGGACAGAATCTACTGTATGCTGTTCAGTTTTACTGTCCTCTTTACAGCCCTGTGTGTGTCTCAGTGTTAAGGATTCCTCTTTGTATTTTATGTATGCATTGTGTTTATTCTCTTTTTTTTTTTTTTTGTTGTGCATCATGGAAATAATCCAACAGAACATAACCTGAGACACACACATGTACAATACACATAAAGCCATCCACAGTCCCTCTTCCCTCCCCCTGTTCTTTAAAACGCCTCTGCTCGCCCCCCTGCTCTGCTTCTGCATGCTTCAGTGCTCAATAGTGTGATGAGTTTTTAGGGCTTATGTTCGATTCAGCTTTTAGCACCCTTCTCTCTCTGTCCGTCTCTGCCAATTCTAATTGGCTGATTTGTGGTTTCTGGTAGCTAGCACTGGTTCAGCTTTATTTAAATGCATGTGTTCTTCTGCTTTGTATTAATGCTATGGTTTTAATGTGCAGATTTTAACCTGGGAAGAGTTTTTGGTGAGAAAAATATAAGACGTCTGTTCTTAGTTACAGATTAAACATTTCTGCTTTGTCAATCACATTAATTTCTCAATCATTGTTTTTTTTTTTTTTTTATAAATTGGGTTAAAGTTAAAAGTAAAAGTAAACAATAAACTTCAAAGTCTGTTTTCTCTTTAACCTCTGTCAGTGAACCAGACTTAACAGGAAAGGTAAGATTTTTGTAGAATATTGTTTAGTATAAAAACGTCATTTTCATCTAAAATAAAAAAAAGCTGCTATTAGTTAGGTATTAGGTATTGTCAAATAATTGATTACTATGACATCTGTTTCATAAAATGGAGACATTAGCAAAGCTTTAACCATAAAGCATTGTTAAGGCATCCTTAAAAATCTTTACAACAAAAGTACATCCTGTCAAAATGCTTTATCGTTTCTTAATGTGGGAACAAAGGTGTTGCCATGTTTGGCGAAGTTTCTTTTCTTTTTTTCTGAGTTGCCCCAATCAGGTAGACTGAGATCCCAATCGGCCTTTTTTATTACATCAGCTCCAATCAGTGAGCTGAAAACTTAACAAAAATAAGTAGAAATCATAGAGTTTCATCATTTTCTGTCCAGAAAGTGGCTTTTTTTTTTTTTTTGGGAGAAAGCATAATGAAAATCTGCTGAAAGTCATGGATAATAAGTCTAACCTTGTACTTTTCTTTTAAATCAAAATCGGACGGATCTTGAATAAAAATAAAAATTAGAAATTTTATTATTCAATCCAGATTGGTGCATCTCTTCTTAAAAAGGTCTTAAAAAGGTTTTAACAGGATTCATCAGCCTTGATTTCTAAAAGAGTGATCAAGTAATGCTAAAAAAATATCATTTTTATACATTTAGAGGTAAAAACAAACTCTTCAAATGGTTATTCCAGGATCGTCTAAGCCACAGGTTGTTTTTTACGTTGCTGGAAACTATTAAAAACTTTGATGGCCTGGGTGTTTTTTATTAACTTGACAATAAAAGAAACTGACCTTAAAAGTATTCAAATTAAAGGGCACATATCATCAATTTTGTTCTTTTCAATTGTATTAAGGCTTGTTGAAACATTGTTGGTCCCGAGGAAAAGTCTCCTGCAGCAACTATATGAGGAACATTTGGTTAATAATTTATTCATATGATTTTGATCAAGCGATTGACAAAACTTAATTTTTTGTACTGACGCACAAATAAGCAGACTCACTTCGGTCTGCAACATTTTTATTCATTTGCAAAGAGCCATTTTTGTCCCCAAAATACTCCGACAAAATAAAGGTCCAACAAAATAAAAGCTGTTGTGTAGAGAAAATTAGAGCTTATCATTTTTCATTAACATATGTTTTAGGAAGTTCTTTGTTGTTTTAAAATAACAATAAAAAAAACTGTTTTAAAGACTTTTAAAAAAGGTGTAATATATTTGTTTCAAACCTAATGACAAGACACTTTTCAGTGCAAATAGTCCCATTAAAAATTATATTTATAATAATCTATTATTAAAAAATAAGTTTGTTGTCTGTTATTTCAAAGTTATTCAGAGCTAAAGTTTGAAATAACCTTTAGTTGCTTCAGAACCACCAGTTGCAGATTCTGGTCTAGCTGCATATCCAATGCTGGAGCTTTTTGTTCTCTCTGTGGTTTGAACTGTGTTGCTTCCTCCGACATTGTTTTGTTTTTTGTTCCTAAATCAAATGTTCCTAGTGGTTAGGAAGACTTTACAACATATTCTGTTTTGGAAAAATGTGGAGGAATATTCAACCATTGGTCCTCAGGAGTATTATCACCAAAAGTTTCTGCCCAGCTAAGGGTGTGCTTACTCAATCCTTTTTTTTTGTTTTGCCAGCAAGCAACCATGAACAATTTAACCGACTACACAAATTTAGCCTGTTTGTTTTTGAGGCTTGGCCCCAGCTAGTACTGGAAAACCGACAAACAAACAAAAACAGTTAAAAATAAGATTTTCAAGTTGTGAGAAAAGATGACGTTTGCCCTTTACCTGACTTAATATTAGTTATAAATGAATAAAACAAAGCCTTTTTAGAAGGGTTTGTTTTTGGCCCTTTTCTGTTTGTGCATCCCTGCTCTGTATGACTTGGAGGTAAAGATAAATGCTTTGCATGAGTCACCTGTTGCTTTCTGTCTTAACAGGACACAAAGTGTGTCAGTGGGGTGAGCTGGTTTCTTGCTTTTCGTTTCCTTCCCGTCTTCCTTTTTTAACTCAACTGCAATGTTGTGTTTTGTTCACATGTGCGCTTTCTTCCCCCCAAAAGTATGACACTCTCTGCCTTCATTTGGATTGGGACATTTCTCACCTATGTCCAAATCGGTCTTGCGTCCTTTCTCTTTTTCTCTTTCTCTGTGTCTGTGTGCTGATCGGCCCAGGTCTCCCCTTGCCCATGGATGTCGCTCCACTCACAACAGCCCCGTGCATTCAGCCTGCAGCTCCCAGAGACTGTCCCAGAATTTCTCTGTCTCTGTTCCCACACTCATCTTCACTGGTACGCAGAGGCAGAAGGAAAACAGTTCACAGGAACGACACAAAATAAAAAAAACAAAAAAAGTGTTCATCAAATGTTAAAAGGGGTTAGGGTGGGGGGTTGTGTCAGGGTAGATCAGTGCCAGAAGAGGCAGAAAATGTAGGGCCTTCCTCTGCTAGAATATTATATTGTTATGTTTGTGTTTTTTTTATTTTTATTTTTTATTTTTCATCATGAACAGCAGCACCTTTACTGATATTTAATGATACCAGAGGAAAGGCTTGCTGTGTCTGTTCATTCCTCTGATCTTTGCTCCTCTCAATGGGACACATGCTTTAGCTTCTCATCCTGTTGATTTTTGACCTTTTTCTTGTTTTGCCACCTTGCTTTCATTGTTGTGTGTCTGTGTGCCAATCTTTGTGCCCCCCTGCTGTCTATGCTTGCTTTACTTTTTTATTTATTTCCACAGCCATCCATAGCACACCTCACCCAAATCCAAACACGTCACATTAAAAACGCCCCCCTTCCAACATTGTACATATGACCACACACAGGAGAACACTCCAAAGAGTGAGGCGCTGACTGACGAGTGTACGTGTGTGTGTGTGTGTGTGTGTGTCATGTTTTCCTGGCAGGCCGGTATTTGGTGAGGATCTGCCCTCGTCCTCCGGCCCGCCTACCCCTTTTCGAGCCCTCCCCACCTCCTCCTCCTCTCCTCCCCCCTTCTCTCCCTGCAAGCCATGCAGCCGTCAGTCCTCATCATCAGACACAGACCTCAGTTTGACGCCCAAGACGGGTAAGAACACTCTGCCCATACCCCTCCTTCATTATCATCACTCTGTACTCCTGACATCAACTTCTGGTGCTGCTATGGTGATGGGTTTTTTGTATTTATTTTCTTTACTCATAATGAATGCCATGTTTATTTTTTTACCCTTTTGGTTTAGTTTGTTGTGAATTGTGTTGTGAATATTTGTTCAGCCATATCCTGCTTCCCTCGTGTCCTCAGTGGCCTGGTGAATCTTTTTGTTCTGCTCTAAAAAGATGCACCAGGTCTCTCTTTTTTTTTTTTTAGCCCCCCCCCCCCACTTATTTTGTGGTGTTAGAAGCACTGTGTCTCAAGAGAGGGTGGTTGTTTCTTTAAGGTAATTTTCTTATTGACCATTAAGCACGGGCCTGATTCTAGCTTCAAAGTAAGCTGGGGTCAGAGTCCCAGAAGTGCGGCAAATTTATGTCGCATGGATAATATTCAGACCTGGTATTCGCACACATTGTTTGCTAATCAGGATATAAGGAGACTAGCATAATGACCATTCGTCTCTGGTGGTAAAATTCAATCAAATTTGATCAGAGTTGATTTTCCTTGTGATTAAAACAGTCCCGTCTAGGGCTATAACATTTATTGCATCATTATAGAATTATTATTATATGAATATCAGTATTGTAAAGACCTGCAGGCGATTTTAGCTAATTATTTAGGTTTCGTGCATTCAGGCTGTCTGCGCATATATTTGGTGAGGCTTCTTGAAGCAGTTTAAAGGCTAGGAGGTTAAGCTGGTGCTCAAGTTATGTTGTCATCATTACATTTAGCAACATTATCAGTTATTAGATGTTTTTCTGATCAAGTGCATTCACTAAATGACTTGGGGAAACACCTTTGGTTTGCTCAAACAGTAATGGGTTAAGTACAAGTGAACAAACATATTGGGAGGTTAACTTTGCTTTTATGCTGCAGTGCATGAAGCAGGTTCAGACTGACTCCAAAAATGATAATATTAAACTACCTTCAAAACCTGCTCCTGATATGTGTCCCTCAGTGTTATCCTAGCTTGTGAGAGAAGTCATTTATCATTAAGGTAGGGTACGAGAATTTGTGTTATTTAAATTTTAATGATTTCTGATTCCTAGTTTCGATTCCAGTTCCCATTGATTCTCGATTACAATTCTGTAACTTAAGGGTAGGATTTTAAATTGGCTGGCTAACCAGAGCTCTGTCTGGATGAAATAGTCTGCATTACTTAATTAAATATAATTCCTTGAACAGCCATGTCATTTTCTGTAAATTTTACTTCAAATTATCAGTTATTTTCAACCAGTATATAAGTATCATAAACTATAAACTCTAATATGATCTAATGAATTTTCTTTTCACAGAGTTACTTTTCACATGGAGCCTTATTAAAACTCTCATTAAAACACATTAACACAGATCCAGTCAGATGCTTCAGCTACTTATTTCATACAAGACTATTTTATTATTTTATCAACCTGATTCTGACTGCAGTGGGGTGCTAGCCTGGAGGAAAAAGCAGCACAAGAGGAAGGCATCCTGGCTGAGCTTAGATTCTCAGTGTTGTTTACTGCACCTCAGCTCCACTCAACTAGACATGAGAGTAGTGATGTTTTTCTTTTGTGGACAGGAATGATCAGATTTCATACTCCATCGTTCAGTTAGCGGGTTTTATTATATGAAAAAGATCCTAAATGAACTAAAATAAGCAATTGATGAAGTTACACTTTCATTTATTCATAAATTCGACAGATCTGTTTAAGTGCGTTTCTTTCTATCGAGAACACGTATGAAATAAAGGCTGGGATCTGTTAAGACGTAAAATAAGAAGTATGGAAAAGGCTCTGCTCTCCATGCGGGAGCTTACCTTACACATGTTTGAAGGCCACATTAAACAGTTGATTGCACACATACCACGGTGGATTCTTCTTTAATGTTAACAGGGGATGTTCTATTTCCCGGTCAGCAGACTGGGCATCGGGACTAGGAATCGAAAATACAATATTTGAAGGATTCCAGGAGAATTGAAAGGTTATCATTTCGAAAGGCATCGGTTCTTGATACCATTTATTAATTATCATTATCGTTTTTTATCAACTGTTTATTTTTTTTAATTCAGATTTTAGGCACTGCTGTTTACTGATCTATTTATTTTCCTTTAACTGGGGGGTAAAACTTGTCCAGGTAATATTGCTGCCTGAGATTTCGAGAACTGACCAACAGGGCTCTAGGTGTTTTCATTCAGTCTGCTAAATGACTGCAGATACTTTAGTCCTTCCCTTTAAGAAAACCACCCTCACTTACTAAAACTGCAGACAGCCTTGGCTTGGGTATCATTAGAGGATCACCCATCACTATCTATAGATTGATAAAAATAATACATTTTGTTGTTGTACTGGGCTGTTTATTTTACCAAAGACGTCCCAACTTAAAACTCTTAAATTAAGAGAGCACTTAGCAGCTTTACTTTAGTTTACTTAGAACTAGTGATAATGTAGTTATTGGTAGATTTGAGACTTTTAAAATATCTTATGTTTTAAAATCTGTAATTTTAAAAGATTCAAATGGTTATACCCAATTCTCAGTCTGTCGACACCTTCACCTGATGTTGTTCACTTGTTACTTTTTTCTGTTAAAAAAACTGATATTAAAAAAGCTGTAAGATATACATTTTCAGCCATAGTAATAATGGTTGCATTTTCTTTTTTAAATTAAAACTAAAACAGTATTTTTTTTAGTTTGGTGGTCCCGTAAGATGCTGATATTTAGCTGTAGGTAATCATGCAGTTTAATGTTATCTCAGCTCAGAAGCTGCTGCACTTTGAGTTAATGAATGAACTGAATGCTGAACAGCATTTAGTCTGAAGACCCCTCTCAGCACAGCTGCCTCCAGACCCTTCAGGAGTGGACCAGCAGTCATTAACCTTTATTCCTCCTTTTTCCTCCATCTTTCCATCATTTGGTTTACTTCCTTCTCCCTTTTCCTCTTTCACCTGATCCTCTTTGTTGCTCATTTTCCTTTTTGGCTCTGATGTATTTGGACAAAAAAATATTTCCTTTTTATGCCTTTTTCCAAAAGTGTTAAGTCACTTTTTTATTATGTATATTATGAAATGAGTAAAAATACACGCTCTGTTGAGCTTTGAAAAGTCTTTCTTTGGACGTTTTGTGATTATTTCTTTCTCTGCCCCATTTTGACTCTTTTTATGGATGCTTCAGGCAGAGTGTGGGTGACAAAAACCCCCTAAAAGAATAAAAATGTTAATGTTTACACCTTAGATTAGGAGAAGCTGGAAGTAGACCTTTTTTTCTACAGTTTTAATGGATTGTACTGATCAGCTCTTTGATCCTTTGGCTTCAAATCAGGCCTAACTTATCTCTTCTCCCCACCACCATGCCTAGTAGTTGGGTTGAGTTGTTCAGTCTTAGCTGCTGGCTTTGGTTTTCACCAAACGCTGCTGTGCAGCCGAATATATCTTAATATTTGCTGATCTGTCCAAAGTTTGCAACTTTTAAAGTTATATAATTAGCAACTTTTGGCTACCTTCAGCCTAGTGGAAAGACAAACACTGTTCTTTAGATCAATCTATACAGCAATAATCATTTTCTCTTAAATACTTAGTTTTAGTCCTTAGAGGCAGCTGGATTAGATGTAGATGCTTTTATTTCCTGAAATATTCATTTTTTGGCAGCTAAAAGGTTTCTGTCTTGCGCCACGTTTATGTGAACTCTAAACTAAGATGACCATACCACTTTTTTTTTTTTTTAGAAAATAGTAAACAATCTGCTGTTAGAGATATTCCCTCATTGAGATTTTAGTTCTTGAATTAGAACTACTGGTACATAATTAGCTTGTTCTCCTCACCTGTTCATTGTATTCACTTTAAATACTCTTTGACTAAAACTCTTTACTAAAATTTAAAGTCTATAATCACTGTCACCATAATGTCCAAATATTTTCAAGGCCTGTATAGTCCATCCAGTTTCATCATTTCCTGTTCTTTGTAAGAACCGCTGCCTGAACACTGAGAGCCTAAGAACACCTAATTAATCAATTCAGATAAATGACTACTCTTGTTTTTAATTAACCTGATTGCAGTAAATGGTCGTCGTTGCTAAACACTTGATATCAAATGTGACAGAAAATAAAACTAAAATCTTAATTTATTATTCATTTATTAATTGATATGAAAAATAAACTAATTGGATTCTATAAAGCTAAGTCCAGTCCTGTTTTTTTTTTTTTTTGATCCTTTTAATCAGCTCAGTGTCTGTGGTACCAGTCCTGTATTCCCCTTCAGAACCTGCAGGATCCAGACTTTTTATGTTCCATCCGTCTCCTTGCTTCTGTTCACTTTTGCTTTCCCACACTGTTATTATACTTCCTCCCACTCCATTCTTCTCTGCCTGTCCATTCTCACTGTATCTGTTTTTCTCTGTGCACCCCTCCATCTTTTTTTTTTTTTTTTTTTTTTCTGCTGGATAGAGGAGCCCCAGTCGGGGAGACGCAGGCCAGGGATCTTCCTCTGCCCCAGTTCCCCAGTCCTCTCTGCAGACTCATTGTCCCTTCCTGGTTTTGGCTCGGCGGACTGTGGTCATGGCTCTGGCCTCAGAGCAACCACCCCGCCCCTTCCCTCCTGCACCCACTCAGACTCTGCCTTGCTGAGAAAGAGCGTGTCCTTCACTGAGGACCTGCTGCTGGCAGCCTCCGGTATAGTAGGACTGCTGTGTGTCATCCAGTTGCTTATAGAAATGGGTCAACAGCAGCTACAGGTCTATGTGAGATCTTTTTGAGTGGCATTAAAAGAAAAGATACCCCAGCATGCCCAGAACATTCTGTAAGAAGAAAAAAAGCGTTACTTTAGCCATAAACTAAGTTTATACGCTATGAAGCAAAAAATTATTTTGGTTTTCTTTATGATGTGTTCAGATGTTGTTTGCAAAAATGGAATCTAATGTAATTTCTGTGATTAGGAATGGGCAGCGGTGGCAGCGCAGGGAAGGAGGCTGGGCCCTTGAAGACCCTTCTCAGACAGCAAACGCAGACTGCTCTGGAACAGAGGGTACAGTGACTCCGAACACTCCTGCTCCCTCTCATATGTATTTTACAGTACTGACCTTTTCCACATGCTTAGCATGACCGTTTTGGTGCTTTAACATTCAAAATTGTGTTGCCAATCTGATCTGCTTCAGATGTGAGTGCTGGGTCACAAAACACATTGCACTCTGTGAAAGATTCCTAATTTGCACTGGTAAAGTATAAAAGTGGTGTGCCCTGTTTAAAACCGTTCCCTTTTCTGTCCTCTTGGCTACTTGTGCATCTCAGGGAGCATCCTCCTCTGGGTTATTGTTAAACGCCAGGGTATGTCCCATCAGTGTGACCTTCACTCTCTGCCCTTTGTTTTCCTCGAACCTGCTGAATAAGCTACGGCCACCACCAATCACTCTCAACCAACTCCTAACCTGACCCTCCTCTACTGTTTGTAGATTTTTCAGGGTAGATGTGGGTTCAGCAAAATCGCAGTTTGCTGTATTTGTTCATTTTGCTCCCACCAAGACCCAAATGGTCACAAACATGTTGGGACCCCGTTTCAGGAAGAGGGATAAGTGAGAACTCAGAATACGTTCTGGAGTAAATTCCTGCATATCCAGGGTTTTTGGTTTCAGAAAGCCTGATAACAGTTATCCTGAGTTCATTTATAAGTCACTCTTTGAACCAACCATGGTGTGTAGTAGGATTTGTTAAACTTATCATTAGACAAAGCAATTTATTTCTTCTCTCTGCTGCAACGTTCATATTTCCCTTAATTTGCAAACTATCAGACTTAACCAGTGAGAAATCGCTCTTGACCACCTGCAGCCTCAGTAGGGGAGGGGGCAATGCACCGGAGCAGCAATGATACTAGGTTTTAGTGGCTAAAAAACACTCTGACCATCAGTCGCTTCAGGTGGCGGGGCAGGTCGGTGATACACTTTGACACACCGTTGACTCAAGGTCCTTAAAAAGTTTTCTCATGTATATGTGCAAATAAGAAGATAAATATGTTAAAGAGATCATTGAAATGCACAAGCAAGAAGGCCCCAGTTCCATAAAAAAACTCATAAAAAAAGGATATGGTTTATTGTCGGTGGAGTTTGACACATTTTTCAGAGTAATGGCCTATTGCACCAAAATGTCCTGGTAAGAATCCTAATGTAGATAGCAGTGAGCAGTGAGCAAATACTCATTAAGTTCGCAATTAGATGCATTTTTAATACCCGATAGTATTATTGATTTTAGTCCATTGACTGGGCTTCTCACAGTGCTTACCCGTGCTATGAAATCTGAGCTGATTTAACTTCGAGTTGAGTTAGCTAATAGATATCACCTGTTCTGAAACTGAAAATCCTGCATATCATAGAGCTGAACAAGTTGACTCAGGATAATTGTGCTCTACTAAGAATAGAAGCCCACTTTCTGAAACGGGGCCCAGAGGGCCAGAAGCTAAGAGTTGCCTCTTCTTCAAGTCTCATGGGATGTGTCAGACTGTGTGTGTGAGTGACTTTTATAATATTTATGTTGAACACATCTTATCTTTTTACTTTTCCAATTATCCTGAATCTGCCTGTTTATTTTTCTGCTAGCTAAAACAGTGACATCACTAACCTTAACAACTAGAGATGCACCGAGAAGAAAGCTGTGGCTCCTTTGATCAGCCAACACTGTTTCCATTTCTTCCTGGAGAATATAAATGAAGATATAGGAACACCATAGAAAGTATTTATTTTTTGGTGTGAATGCTTATTAATATTTAATATTGGTTCCTCTGCACTCTGCAGTCTATTATCTATCAGAGGATGCCTGAAGGAAATGTTAAAAAATTAGAATGAGCCCAAATAGAATGCGAAGTCCACAAGATTTGTGAAATATTAAATAATTGAAAGTCCCACACAAAGTCAAAGCCAAACTCTTATGTTTTAGAGATGTTGTAAAGTGATATGAATCAATGTACTGAAAAAAATATCACAGAAAAGTGGGACAAACATTCTGGTGACTGAATGCAGAGGATATTATTACTGAATTCAGCCCATAGTGGTAAAACTAGCTGGTGTGGTTAGGCCATCCTGACTTTTTATCTTCTAAACTTTTTCATTTTGTTTGTATAACATTTTTATTGAGTGAACACGTGAATGTTGAACTCAAAAAAAACATGAGTGATCATTTAGTCACATAATTCTAGATCCTTACCTTAACTCACATTTCCGTAAGGTTGCCACTCTTCCATAGAAACCATGTTTAGTGACAGAGACCAAATAGATGAACTTGACATGACATTGAAAGTCTTTTAAATAACTCTTTACTTCTTATTATCTGTCTGATGTAGGGCTGAAATAATGAATCTGATGATTTGATTATTGTAATAATAGTCAACTAATTTAGTAAATAATCATTAAATGGAGTATAGCGACTTGAAAACTTACCTGTATCTGAAAGAGCGACCCAGCTTGAGCAGCAATAATACCAAAATTATGAAAAAATGTTTAACATTCTTCATTTAAGATAAAAATATTTTTCATCTGTCAATATGCTCTATCCAGAACTCCTCCAGTGGAAATGTTTTAGTTTTACCTGGTTTAATTTCATAAAAATCTTCTTTAAGGGACCTTTGGCTATACAATTCTTAATCAAAGTAATAATTGACAGAATAATCAATTTGCAAAAGAATCGGTAGTTGCAGCTCTAGTCTGATGTCCTTTTTAAACTAGCCACCTTGGCCTGTACTTGGCTTAAGATCCACACAGAGGAGTTTCACTGCATTTGGTTGGGTTCACTGGTTGGTAGAAATCTAGAATTTCGAGTTTTTGGGTTCCTAGTCAGGGCCAGGATTCTAGTCACCAGCACATTTCTCGGTACATCTCTATAATTCACCTCATATTAATCTTTTTGCTTTGAGTAGGAAAAAGATCTGTTTGAAGGAACAAAATAAAGTAGTGGTAGATCCCCCCCACCTTGAAAACTGCCCACCTAAGCCATTCATTTCATACCAATCCTGCATGGTTGGAAATCACAACTTTTCCTATCTTTGATAAGAGGGAATTTTCCTGCGTCATTTGTATGAAAGTGCATGAATTCTAATAATCTCTTATTGGATGGTACCAGATGCTCTGGTAAAGGTAATCCAGCATGCTATCAGTAGTGCTGATCCTCAGCCAAAAAGAACACAGTTTGTGTTCTTCCGTCTTAACTCTGAATTTCACATTTCTTGACTTTAATAACTAATTTTCCCAATCCTTTCCAAATGTATGTCGATCCACGGCTGTATGAGTTATTGTAGCAGGTGTTGAATCCTCTGGGAGGAAATTTGCATGTGGTTTTTCCTTCTGCTCTGCATGTTCACACATGAAACAAGTCGGCTTTTACCAAAGCCAACACATGGCACTCATAAGAAGACTGGTTTCAAGGACAATTGTAAAGCAAACCTTTGATCAATTTAACCCTGTAGTGTTTAATTCAGACCATAAGGGTTGATGTCTAGTACATATTCGGCTACCTTAAGTTTAAAAACATTGAAGCTAACTTTATAATTCATTTAATGATAGCAAAACTGTTTTTTTCCCCTTTACACTGTTAACAGACCCATTTCCTCTTCCACAGGAGTTCCCTTTCTTCACTTTGACCTCTTTTCCACCGGCTTTCCTGGTTCATGTTGGCGGAGTGGTCAGTGCTCGGTCTGTTAAATTACTGGATCGCATACACAACCCTGGTGAGTTCACAGGAACCCACACCAGTCTGATGCCCTCTTAATAGGATGTGAGTGCACTCCTCCATTGACCCAGTGTGTCATGTACTCAGTGCGTCTGGTCCCGTTCTCCCTGGCTGATAGTCAATGCTGCCCATACTCCTCCTGTGTTTTGTAGTTTTCCTATGTATGGTCCTTGTGCCAGAAAGCAATGTGTAGTAAGAAAGAAATGAAACAGGTGAAAGTTGCTCCTCTTGGGATGAATACTATGAGGATTAATACTTTGATGAAAACATGTATTTGGACAACTTTCACCGTATTCTATTCTAATATTTCTTTGTATGACCAAACCTTTATGTTCCTTTTGGTTGGGTGTCGGGTGTGTTTGTGTCCATATGCTCTAGTGGCTGAACTTTTAGCTGGGTGGACATAGTGGTGCATGGCTCTAGAGTCTGTGTTGTGTACTTATGCTGGCTGCAAGTTGCAATAAAGTGAATTCATGTCATCTCTTCAATATGATGTACCGCCTTGAGTGTTTATTAGGTGTATTATTTGTCATTAATTCAGTATATTTGTCGCTGAAGTAAATTACTGCAAGCTTATTTAATGGCAGTGACCCGTGCATACGAACACACTGATCCTTGCTAGGTCTTGAAATAAACACTTTGGATAAACCATCAGGCATCAGGGTTGCCAATTCTTCCTCTCTTCACCTGTTCAAAATCTACTATTTCCGACGCCTTCAGAGAAACGGAGCTGCCAGCGAAATAAATGCAGAGCAGCAACAGTTTATTGGAAAATATTCGCTTAGAAAGTCACTATATTGTGAGTTAAAAAGTCACATTTCAGAACAAAGAGTTTTACCCAGTTTTATTACTGTGAAGTAATTTAAAGATTTGGTTATGTTTCCTTCCTGTGCTTTCTAACCTCAAATAGAAATTGTTATCTCTACAACTTCCTACATATTTCCTTTTTTATCCCTGTAAACTGTAGATACAGTCATAAAAGAAACCCCCTTTAATACTCAGATCAGCACATCTGGCACCAACAAATATTTCCCGTAAAAAGGAGAACTGGGCAATAAATTAATAAACTATACATTTTAGATTGACCCCTGATATATATCGATATAAAAAATTTCTAATTACATTTTTTATTTTTCCTCTAAACTTGGGGGATAAAGGAGAGGATTTAGCTTCTCAACCTCTCACAGCCAAATTAAGTAAGGTTGTTTGCAGATTACTTTTTAAAGGGTATGTTTTAAATAAGTTTAGGGTAAGAACTTAAACTTGGTGTTAAATAGGTAGAAAAGTACAAATCAATAATTGCTGATATAAAAGGTATTTACTGCCTTTAGTTTTTTAGCCCAGTTCTTCTTAAAACTTTGGGTGGAACCCAATTTGTTTCCCTCTCAGAGGTTCTGTTTGAACTCATTTAAGTCCTTTCCACCTCGTCTGATCTATTAATGCATAAGATTGCTTCTACAGGATTTTTTTGGTAGCTATTTAATAACCATTTTAACATGTGTACACCCCAGATTTATGAAGAACAACTCCAAAGGGCTGCTGTCCTGTGTAACTTGACCTCTACTCGAGTCGACTTGTGTTGCATGCTTGGTTTTGTACCGTATTGCTTCGTCTCTTCATTATTATAGCCGGTCCTGAAGCTTTGTGACATCTCTGTTCTACATAAGTCTCCCCTAGGGTAGTTTCAGTAGCCGATGTCGTTAGTTTGTCATGGCATTAGTGATTGTGGAGTGCTGCTGTTGTGCTGTGCTTGTTTGTTAGATTGTCTCTTCTGTTCTCTCTCTCTTTCTCTCTCTTTCTCTCTTCTGTACTAACGGTGTATTCTGGCCCAGCCTTGGGTAACACGCGCTCATACAAACTGCTAGACTGGAATAGTGTCACCGCAGGTATTTCCCCCCCTTTTACTGCTCTCATCCCACCAGAGCGATGGTAGCTCAGTGAAGTTAGGCTTGTGGTGTCCTTTTAAGCAATCAATGAATGTTGCAATTCCATCACAGTTGTTTTGCTAGCTCAGCTATCAATCCATAAAATAAAAAACTTTCCCTGAAAGCTTAAAAATGGAAATCACTGAGCTGCCCTCCTCCTCTCCTGATTCTGTGTGAGTGTGTGCTAAGCTGAGCATGCTCTGTGTCGTCACCCCACCCCATCCAGCCTGGCCACTCTACATGCGAGCACACACCCGATCAACTCATCGTTCTGCACATTAGAGCTGCTCCCTGCCGTTGTTTCGCCTGGCGCTGTTTGTTATGCTTCCTGAATTGGCATTTTGCTAAAACCTGTCTAGACCAGAGGAGGTTTAGGAGGTTTACACTTTGACATAGAGCCATCTGCTGGGCATGTGCATCCCTTAGTCACCGGGCCGTATTCATGGATGGATGGATGGATGGATAGATGGATACTAGAACCGATACTTTTGATGGAAAAAAGCTGAGTTTAAGAAAAGCAAGGAAAAAAAACTGTAAAAAATGTAATTTGATGGACTTTAGTGAATGAATATGGCCCTTCTTCGGCCATGAACGTGCACACATGGCCATGAGCGTGCACGTTGGTGAGCCTGTGCCTGAATGACATGCTGCTGCTGGTTTGACCAAACCCACAATGAGGATCTGATGGCTGGCCATCAGTCATTATTCTTCATCTGTTTTAGTTAATCACCCCTCCCTCATTCCTCTCCTCCATCTCACCAAGCAGTTAAGTTTCATTCGCATGTTGCCCTCCCAGGTAGTGGTGTTGTGTAGCTCAGTTCTTTAAAGTCGTGTGTTCTGTGTCAGGCAGACATGTGTGTGAAAACGACTCTTTTTGCTGTAATTAAGCATAAAGTATGAAAAACCAGACGTGAAAGAAATGACAAGACTATTAGAAATACAACTTAATATAATTATGCTTATCTTCTAGTGAGAAAGAATGAAATGAGCTTAATACCTTAACTGTACTCTGAACTAATAGCATTTTTGTCAGTATATTTTCCTGCCATAGGATATAGTTAGAGGTGTATTTTTTTTTTTAGCCTGCCCTAAACGTTTCTCCCAAGAAAAAAAATTTACCCTGAACCTTTAAACCTGCTTGAGCTGTCTGTCGTGTGCCCCTCAGTCAGGTGTTTACAGTTACTTTGAGCAAACTAAAGTGCCATTGGTTCACAAAATTGAAACTAAACCATTACAAATAATTTATTCTATCTAGTTTAATATCAATAGTTATCATTGTGGTTTGTCAGTAAACTTTGCAAATTTAAAAATGTTATACTTGAGCTTCTGCAAAAAATTGAATGAGCATCTGAATAAATCAGTAGGCCTCGCACAAATGAGCTTTTGAACTTAATGCAAGAAATATCTCAGTATAAGAAGCTGATGTTGTTCATTTAGGCGGAGCAATATGCACTTAAAATCTTATAAAGATTATCTTGCAATATTGTGAGAATGATAAAGTGATGATAAAAAAAAAGAATTCTTCAGTCTTTTTTTTTAAGGTAACTGTTGCTGTGACTGCTTATTACAGCAATCAGAAATAATACTCATAAAGAATATGCTAATTTTAAATCTGCGTTTTCAGGACACCAGTTATGTAAATAAGTATGATTTATTTGACGAAACATCTTGTAGTAACCGCATTTCATCATATTATTCAAATTTGAAATGAAAGTAAAATAGAAAAATTAAAAATGTTATCTGTTTCTGGAATTTGATTGACTAGAAACTTGTCGCGATAAACAATACGATTAATGCCCAGCCCTATTGTTAATAATGTGGGTTTACTGCATAAGCAGTTATTCGGTAGTCAGCTGCTTATAAACAGTTGGCTATTGCTTCCTAAGGGTAGTTATAGAGCCATAATTTTGCCAAGAAGCCATTTATTTTAAAAGTACTTTGACTTCTATGCCAGGACTGTGTTGCAACCATAAATATCTATCAACAGCTACATTTGTAGACGAGGAAGAATTGTAGCTGCTGAGCAGAAGTTGGTGGTTAGATAAAGAAGGAGCAGCTCTGCTTTACTCTATGTCCCTCAAAGCAAACTTTGGTCATCATCATTTCCTCCCGCTTCCTATAAATTAGCTTTAACGCTTCAGGAAAAATGCGACATCAGTTTTTGAAAGGCTGAAACTTCTTAAAAATGTTTATATCAATGATACCGATAACTGGACTATGCCAGCTTTCATCCTTCCTCCACAAAGTTCTATCTGGAAGTTTCAGGGTAATACCAAAGCTCTACACCCCTACTATAGTCCCCTTTTAACTGGATAATCGGTCTTTCTTGATGGTAGAAACGGCAAAATAGAGAAGAATTAAAGAAATGGACAGAGAAAAGCACCCTGTTTTCGGGCAGAGGTTCAATACGTCTGAAGTTTAGGTTTTCTTTCTCCTTAAAAGTAAAAACACAAAAATGTTTTTGATTACATTTATTTACACACATGACATGAAGCCCTTTTAATCCCTTGACAGATCATTGACAATACCCTCATCACTCCCAAATTCTCACCAACCATTTTTCACTTTCCCTTTGTCTTATAAAATGACTATTGGTTTCCGCTTGCTTTGATTCACCATTTAATTCATAAATCAACAGAAAGAAATCCGATTTCTGTTGACCGTAGAGATGTTTTCTGTAACTTAAAGCTCTCAGATTAGCTGCAAAGTCTGTCTCTGCTATAATCTCAGTTGTAGTTTGATATCAAAGTTAAATAAGTTTTTGCCAGTTCTGTTAAAGCTCACTGAGTCACTACTGTATGTTTTTTTGCAGATGAACCGGAGACCCGTGACGCCTGGTGGGAAGAGATCCGCCAGGAAATTAAATCTCATGCCAAAGCTCTCGGTTGCCACGCTGTCATAGGTTACAGTGAGAATACAAGCATCTGGTATGTCCTTTACACCATGCATGTATATAATAATAAAAAAAAGCTATACTGTTTTTCTTAACCCTCACTTTTGTTCATTTAAACTGACCTCTCTCTGTCCTCATCACAGTGAAGAGGTTTGCATTCTGTCAGCATCAGGGACAGCCGCCATCCTGAATCCGCGGTATATGCGTGAAGGTTGCCTCGACATGGGCAGTACTGACCACAGGTTGAGTTTTAGCTCCTAGATGAAGTTTTAGTTTTAATTCTGTGCTTTTTTTTTCTGAGGGCTGATGGATTGAAGGTCTGCTTGCTCCTCAGGTTTGATGATCCTTCCCCTCCCAGCTGTGGCTTCTGTCACATCCCCTATGATGAGCTCAACATGCCATTTCCTGCCCAGCTAACCTACTGTTACAACTGCAGGCGGCAAAAGGTAGAAAAAGAGTTAGCAAAAAAGCAATAGTAGGGTTTGAGTTTTGTTTAACCTGGAAAAAGAATGAAAAATAAGAATGAAAACATAAATAAATAAAAAAAACTTTTTTTTTTTAAGGTTCCTGATGTGTTATTCACAACGATCGACTTGCCAACAGAGGCAGCTGTTACAGGGAAAGGCTGCCTCATTCAGGCCAGGTAAAACAGCAGAAACTCTGACAACACTTTGAAATGGCCACAGGTGCTTTAATGATAAGAGTTTCCAATTAAATAACTATTTTCTTTTTTATCCACTTAGTTTTTTCTCAAATTATGCACTTCATCTTTTCCTCTGCTGCCATGCTTTATGAATATGCTGACCAAAAGGACTAAAACCTGCTTTCACTGTGTTTGATTGAAGCTGTAAATCATGATAATTTAACGCACCACAATTATACATATAAATCTGATGTAGTTTGTAACATGAATTATATTGAACATCATATTTAGTAGTTATATTTTGCTGCGTCTACTGAATCTACCTGCAGGTTTCCTTTTTTTAATGACTAAAATGAATCCGTCTGTAATCTTTAAATTTACTACCATGCAGCTGTATGTTAAAACCCAAACTCTTTAGGTAGATTAATAGCCATTTAATTAAAAGTATATCAAGGCAGGTGCATGACGTATTAGTTAGGTGTTTGAACTACTGATTTAATAAGCTGGTTCACATCCCTCTTCTGCAGCCTGCCAATAGATATAAACATGTTCAAGACTGCATCAGATTTTACTACATTTTAGTTGGTTTTCTTAAGGTGTTCATGTTGTGATTCAATGTTTTATCAAACATCAGTGAGATAAAGGACTGACAAAACTGTACCAGAAAGGCCAAGAACGGCCCAGACTGCAAAACCTTTTTATTATGTCTTATTACCCAGTCATAAAAGCTCATTTATCCCTTATTTATTTTACTTTCATCTAGATAGAACATAAGAACTCTAGAGTGGCAGACTGAAAAAAGCCAAATGTGGGAAATGAGGGCTATATAATAATACATTCTGATCTAGGGATCTAGATTGGAAAGGTTCCCCATTTTTGGCACTGTTGCTTTACAACATGCAAAAAAAAAAAAAAAACAGATGTCTGTAAGGGCAAACTAAAAGTCTTTGATTCTTATCTTCCAGGCTGTGCCGCCTGAAAAAGAGAGCTCAGGGAGAAGTGAACGCAACCGCCATTTCAAACCTGCTGCCTTTCATGGAATACGAGCTGCACACTCAGCTGATGAATAAGCTCAAGCTCCGGAGCATGAATGCTCTATTTGGTCTGCACATTCAGATCAGTGTTGGCGAGAACATGCTGCTGGGTCTGGCTGTAAGACATTATTTTAAACACAGAAATGAAATTGTGGTTGAGCTAGGTCTGTTTTAAGAAAATTTGTGTTTTTTCAGTCTGCTACAGGAGTGTACCTGACGGCTCTGCCTGCACCAGGAGGCATCCAGGTGGCTGGGAAGACCCCCAGCGAGTTGAACGAACAGCACGTTCTGACGATCCAGAAACGGATCAACGACACCATTGCCAAGAACAAGGAGCTCTATCAAATCACCCCTCCCGTAAGTTAGCTACATATTTTAGGAGTTGTTGAAAAGTGTTGATTTCAATCCTCTTCTCTGCACTCAAATCAAACGCAAATATTGAACATAAATTAATATTTCATTCGAAAAAAGAAACTTCCACTAAATTCCACACCTATTTACATTAAAGACAATAAAAAAAAAGTATTTGATGTGACATCAAACCAGATAAATAATTAGGCGGTTCTGCCTTTTCTGTCACTGCTGAGCCACTAAGTATTTGACTCTGTGTGCTTTTTTAAAAATTATTTTTTAAATCCTGTTAAATTTCTTGTCTTTCTCTGACCATCAAAGAAATTATTTGCCCTGGACCCTGAAGTGTTCTGCGGCACAAACATGGTACTGAGCATGCTGGCTTTCAACAAAGCATGAGCAACATTTCACAGTTAACCACAACTTGCAGCTGCTGGCTGTATCTGTAGAACTACTCCTGATTAGGGGTTTGTGAACCCAATGATGAGTAACTCCCACCTGGTCCACTCACTGTAGCTCTGGATTTGTGATGTATTTGATATTTTACACCAAGTCTGTGTCTGTGTTTGTGTTTTTATCAACTGCACAGGACAAGCATGTAGAAGTATCACTAACAGTAGTTTTAGTCTCTGTAGATTCAGAACTAACCTGGTTTGATACTCACCACCAGTCTGTCTTGGCTTACAGGAGCTGACAGAGGAAGGGGTGGGCTCTCCGATCCCAGAGCCCAGGCACAGATCCAGACTTTTCCGCTCCCACTCAGAAAGCTCAGATGAAGTGTCTGAATTGGATCTGTCGCATGGCAAAAAAGATGCCTTTGTTCTGGAGGTGAGGAAGTATATAAATCATCACCCGTGTGTGGATGTAACTCTGTAGGAAATGGTAACTGTGCCGTTTTACTCCTAGATCGATGACACTGACGCCGTGGAAGACATCCACTCTCTCCTCACCGATGCGTCTCCCCCCACAGGTTTTTGTTAGATTAGTTTACAATGATGTGGACCTGTTTGTTTAAGCCGTTAAATGTTACCACTTCAAACTTGTGTTTGTCTCTGCTCTGTTTTGCAGGTTTCTACAGCTGCAACACTGAGACCATGCCTGGGATTTATAACTGGACCACAGCAGTACAGGTAAACTGCAGTTTAAAGCTGTTAAACTCTGAAAATAACACATCTTTTTATTTTGGAAGATTGACGTGCTTCTTTTAATATTGTTACAGATGTTTACGTCGGTTAGGGTGCTGAGATTGAGCAATGCCAACCTATCTAACCAAAGCCTAAATAAGATCTTCACTGACCTTTGTGAGAATCTTCTAAAGGTAAAAAATCTTTTTATTGATTTAGATCAGTGGTCAGCAGTCTTTAATGAAACCAAAGTCCTTCAGTTTTGGAATAGCTTATTTTTATGGCACCTGCTTTAGGACATTTTAAACCAAAAAACAACAATTTTAGTTTTGTTTTTAGTTATTATGCATTTTATTTAAAGGGAGATCCAAGGCACATTGCTTGCAAACTACTGACTGAAGAATGTCATAAAAAATATTTCTTGCACTATTAGCGTCAGTCTAAGTGTTAATGTTATTTGTGCATCCTTCATTAATATTTTACACATTGCTTAATTCTTTAGTACTTGTTATTCTTCAGTTGTAATTAAGAGTCACAGCTGAGGTACTAAAGCAGGGGTCATCAACGTGGTGTTCGCAGAAGATGCCGTTGGCACCATGCGGCCCTCAGGGGCCTCATGGGGTGCCCACAGCATCTTCTGAAAACAGTACAACTCACCAGTGGGCTAAGATTGAAATTTATTTATTTATTCTGGTGTCCTTGTTTTTTTAATAGAAAATTTTGTCATTTTAATCATACAGAGTATTTAAGAATTTATAGAAATCTCAAAATGGCAATATCATAAATAAAAATAGGAATTAACAGAAACAATAAAAATATGTTATTATGTATGAAGTTAAGTTGAATGCTGATCCTTCCAGTTCATAGGTCAGTATGACTCATGTAGTAGCCCTCGGCCTTAATAAGTTTGTTTACTCCTGGTGTAAAGGGTCACATGGATCCCCACATCAACAGGTTGCTGACCTCTATAAGCCCTGGTCAGTACAGCTGGAGTTGTGAGTGATCTTAACTCTCTGCTAATCTCCGGCTTCTTTCAGAGTTTCTACTTCAAGTTACGCTCCATGATTCCCTGCTGTCTTTGTCATCTCAATTTTAATGTAGCAGTACCAGAAGAAGAACTTATTCAGGTGGGATGTCATAGACTTTCTCTGCGTTACCAAAATGAATTGATCTCAATTTCTTCGATTTGCAAGCAAAAGTTCTTATTTTAATAACTTTTATTGTTCTTGTGGTAGGTTTCAGTGACAGCCGTTGCCATGACGTTTGATAAGGACCAGGCTCAAGAGAGGCCAGCTGAAAGATTTATTACCAAAGGTCTGTCTTATAATAAAATATACTATATCCCTTGTCTCTTCCTATATTTTAGCCTCTACAGTCACATGTCTCCGTGTATTTAATTGGGACTTTACATAACAGACCAACAAATATACATGACTTGCATTCTTTTTTTAATGTCAAATCAATTGTAACAAAAATTTCAATAATGACTCATGAGGAGACGGCATGGTTGATGATATTCTGCACTTCTGGTTAGGTGGGAGTGAGACCGAAGATCAGCTGCAGTTTTCACTAGAGTTGTGCGCTGACACGTCATCCACCAACTCTTCCAAAATATCAGGTATTATTTACTCTTTTTTTGTGGGGGTGGGAGGCTCCTCCTCTACCATACTTCATTAACACTCCAGGAACAGTCTCTTTATTCACTCCAGCTGCAAAACTCTGCCAAAATCAGCTGGTTGTGGTTCATTCAACAGGTAAAGGATCAGTAGCTTGTCCACTGTGTTTGGTTTTTCAGTAAAACTAGATGTCAGCATTTCTTTCTTCTTTTTAAATAAGAAAAAAACTTGTTAGAGCTGTAAAAGTTTGTGGTTTTTATTTACCCAAAACGATCCCAGAAGCAAGACTAAGCTGTAGATGTAGATTTTTTTCTGAACTTGAGTTGTGGGTAAGAAGATGATAATTACAGAACTGTGATTACTATCTACCAAGCTCTGGTTTCTGTTTTTGTGTGTGTGTGTGTGTGTATGTGCGTGTGTAATAGGTGTCCAAGAAAACGCACTTGTCTCATCCAGAGGTAAGCCCCTACGATGTTTCATCTCTCCCCCCTTCCCCAACTCCTTGCTACCGAAACTCCTACACTGTCATGTTTTGACTTTTCATCCTCTTGTCTCGGACAGTTATCTTGAACCGCTTTCAAAGAACTCATTCAGTTTTGTTCTTTTCTTTACTTTTGTTTCTGTTTTTTTTCTTGTGTGTGTCGTATGTTTTTTTTTGTCCTCTTTTCTTGTTGTTGTGTATCTTCGGGTGTGGGTTGCGCGCGTGTGTGTGTTGTGTGTGTGTGTGTGTGTTTTCTCCAGCTGCCTCCGTTGATTACGGTTCCTTTGCAGACAGATGCAGCACCTGGCTAGAGCTGCTTAGGCTGAAAGCGCACACCATAAGACGAGGATCAGTTAAAACAAGTAGGAGGACACAGTCTCTAGCACACTCTGGTGATCATACCCACAAATACAGAACACAGTTTCATGAGCAGTCTTTCACATGCCGACTCACTTTCTCACACACCCCTCGATGCATGCCGGTGGGGGTGACGTAGCAGTTTTGTTGTTTTGAATTTTTTTTAAAGCACTGGCTATTTAGAATAGATTTTTCTAAAATCATACCTAGCCCTTTGGAGGGATCGCAATCATCAGTTAGGATGGAAGATGCCTGTAGCCTTTTGAACCTTTTATGAATCTGAGGGCCGTTCTCTTTTTGCACAGAGTATGCAGCTTTTACCCCCTCTTTGCACTCGTGTAAAATCTGCATGAAATTTCCTTGATTTCACTTCGTATTTGCACAAATAACTCTAAAATGCAGAAAACATTACATGCTTTATAAGATACAGGTGCACCTCTATAAATTATGATATCATCAAAACCAAATTTATTTAAGTAAACTGGTTAGAAATCTGGAAAACGTACAGAATTTAAAAAAATCAAGTATTTCTTTTTGCTAATTTTGATGGTTATAGCTGAAGAAAACCAATTTATTTTTTCTGAAAATTTAAATATATTATATAAGACCAAAAAAAAGTTATTTTAGATACAAAACTGACGCCCATGCTGTGTCCTTCAATATTATAAGGAGACCTACGGATTAATTGACACCTCTTTCATCCTCCCCAACTAAGCCCGTTAATAAAGAAGATGGTGGTTCACAGAATGCTGTATCCAATAATATGGGAAAATTAAGTGAGAGAAAAAAGTATTTGTTTGTGGTGGCCTTTGAAGAGTTGATTTCGGCTTTTGTTCACTCCTTGGATTCTATTTCTTTTTCAAGCTCTTAAATGTTGGAAGCTGCTAATAATAATAATTTATGTTGCTTTTTCACTTGTTTTTTATCTACTTTGCTTTTTTTATTCCACTTAACTTCCTATTGATGCAACACTCTGAAGAGCCATCTTCTTAAGCAGTCACCTTTTGTGACTTATTAACCTGGGGAAGGATGTCCTTATATACTGGATAACTGATTTTTAGGACTGTGACCCTAACATTACATTTTTTTACTAATCTTTTTTTTGGTCTTATGTAACATTCTGATTGTCAGAGAAACCCTTTGGATTTTTGCAGCTGCAAGCCAAAATCATCAAAATAAACAGAAATATATGCTTGACATAAATATTTTTCAGTATGTAATGTATCTGTAATAAGATTTTTACTGAAATTGAAGAAACTTTTGATGATATTGTAATTCATGGAGATGGTTTTACGGGTAAAGACGTCTGAATGATCACTATAAACAAATCATCAGGGCAGGATGGGTGGGGGTGCAGTTCCTAGTTTGATTTTCAGTCCTGTGCACAGTATGTGTAATGTTTGGCTCTGAAGGTTCCTGGTTTGACGGATGGAAACAGCATCAGGTAAATCTGCGCTGTAAAGTGAAGCACCTTTCACTCTCTGGTTTGTGTACATGTGCCCAGCTCGGCTCATAGCTGTCTCTGTCCGTTTCCATGTCTCAAGCCTCATTCACAAATGCCAAAGAATCGGAAATCTTCTCTCATGTATTCCACTGTAAACACTGTATTCACACCTGTAAACAGCTGTGCCCAGGTCTGTCTGTCTGCAGACGTTTTCCGTCTGTTTTTTTACCTCCGTTGCATGACATGCTTGGCAGCGCACACTTTCCAAGTGATCGTCTTGACACCGTGCACCGACCACACACAAAACTACATTTAAAGTCATGTCACTCTAACAATATAAGTGAGCTCAAAATGATTCATACCCATGTAAAGTTGTGTTTGATCTTTCTAGACCAGTGGATTCTAATTTATTACTACAAATATTAATCCCTCCTATTGTATGTTTCAGATCATACTATGGTTGGCGCATTGAAAATGCCTGAGACTTTTCTACAGAATCCCACTGTAGCTCTTTTTTATAATTGCCATCGAGATAAATCTAAAATATTTTTACCTTTACGGCCATTTTTTAAATCAAAGATCCCAAATAAACAGCAAAGTTTTTGGCTGTTATGCTTCACAGATCTTTAAGATGAAACTTTCTATCAGAAAGAAACTAGACCTTTTTTAGATTTAGAAATTAAACAAAATTATTGACTGCATTGGATACAAACTAGATTGTGTTTTGAAATAATTAATTCCTTTGTCAAATCATAAGCATGTGCCAAAGTTATTATTTTTACATGTTTAAAAATACTTTAAACCTAGTACTACTTTTGGGGAGGTTGTAAAATATATATATTTTTTCTATGAACCTTTAAAACCAGACATATCCTAAATGATTCACCTGAAAAAGAAACCAGATAAACGGACAATGTGTGTATAGCCTTATGCTATGTTAGTGCTAGTGGTAGTTGAAGAACATTTTTATCCACCGTCACCATTTGAACTTCTTTGGTTGGAATCTGTTACCTTCCTGCTCCCACAGCCTCTCTGACTACTTTGTCTTCTCTTTCTTTACTTTTGGAGAAACATTTAGCTAGTGTAAGGTCAATGTTTGCCCAAATTTCCTGCAACTAAAGTCAGCAGAATTGAGGACAGCGGAATTTTCTGGATTTAGGTTAATCAGATTCACCATAATAAAGGGAATATGTCAGCTTCAGAAAATCTGAAAAGGCTGGAATTGTATCAGAAAAGGCTCCAATCAGTTAAGATGAAGCTGTTTTTTTTAAACCTTTTTTGTATTTTTTTTAAGCAACATATTTTTTATACTGATATAAAAAACTTTTGTAATCTACTTGAATAATTTATGGAGATGTTTTCACAAACAATCTAAAATCACCTGTTGAATATAATCGTTTGATATTGATCTAAAAACATAAATTAAATCCTGTTTCCCATTATTTTGGGCCACTTGATTAATAAAATATGTCGGATAAAAAAAAAACAACGCAAACCTCTTGCTGATAGATATTATATATTGAAATCACAGAACATCTTTTCTTTCACATTTGAATCCAACAAAATTATAGAAATGACCAATTAAAGAAATGAGGAAGGACAACATGAAGCTAAAAGGGTGAAAACATCTCAATTTAATTTAAGGGTGTTCTTTCTAGGGAACAAACAATATTTCCTAATATTCCTCTTATCGTTATTTCAAACCCAAACTTCTATCTATATTTATCATTTTTAGCCTGCAAGACTCGATGGAGGATATAAAGTTGTGATATAAATCATAATTTTCCATGGGTTTGAATCTGTTTTATGCTCTACTTTCTATCAGTGTCCAAGCCTTGCTGTTCCAGTACTAAGTGGATTGCATTTTTGCATGATATCTCTAATTAGTGCTTCAAAGCTCATATCTGCTTTTATATTTTTCCAGTTTTTTAAGTGGTTGCTGGTGTCTCAGTTCCCTTGTCTCCTTTTTTTTTTTTTTTGCCCTGCTGTCTCCTCTTCTTGTTATCCCTTCACATCCTTCTCTCGCTCCTCTGCTTGGCCTCTTTCTCTCTCTCTGGACCTTCAGTCTCGTCTTTGGAGCACTGCAGCCCGCTGACAGAGGGACGCTCTCGTTCACTGCGCTCAAGCCGTTCCTTCGGAGGCAGTTCGGTCACCATGGTGAAGATGACACCGCTCTCTTTCCTCCCTGGGACGCGCATCATTAAATACCTTGGCATCATCAACATGTTCTTCATCAGAGAGACAACATCGTTAAGAGAGGTGCAGTTAAAGGCTGCAGGAGCAACTCATTGTGCTGCCTTTTTGTTGTTGTTTTTTTTCACATGAAATGTGTTTGTTCTCTTCAGGAAGGTGGGGTTAGCGGCTTCTTGCATTCGTTCATTGCAGAGGTGTTTGCGATTGTTCGAGCCCATGTAGCAGCTCTGGGTGGCAATGCTGTGGTGTCCTACAGCATGAAGGACTGCGTTTTAATGGAAAATCCCAACAAGAATCAGGTAGCCACACATAAAGGTTTTTCTCATATGCTGGAAACCTTCGTTTTTACAGGCACACCTCAGTGAATCTGTGATTTATAAAGAAACTGATCAAGCTAATTAGTAGAAGGTTTGGTGGAAAAAAGGTGTAAGGTATAGAGGATAAATACATCGTTGACAGTTTGGGAGGCTTCACTGAGTGTTTACTCTGACTGGATTCAGCGTTTCATTAGCAACCTCAGTGAAACAAACAGAAGGACCTGAGTAATAGCTGCTATGACCCTCCTGATCCAGAGACATCATAAGCATCCTGCCTGATCTTAGGATTATCTAAGGACTGAAAAAAAAGGATATTTTAAACCTCATCTGGAGATAAAGGTCTGAGTCTAGAGAGGAAAAGAATCCCAAGTTTCTTGAGGATACAATATGAAGATGTCCCAGTCAGTAATGATTTAGCAGAAAATCTTTCAGTTTCAAATGCTTCCTCCTGCTTCCAATCTTTAAGGAGTTGGGGATGGTATTTGCCAGCAGGGCTTGGATTCTAGTCATCCTGCTATAAGTACCAATTGACTGACTTAATCAGGGCGTAAGTCAGTGTGGTTTAAAACCGACTGCATGATTCAGCGTGAGAGGCGGGCCCATAATGCAGCAGCGCTTTTCTGTAACCATAAAAGTCAAGACTGCAGCTGCAATGCAGCAATGTTTCAATGATGCCCTTTATTAAATCTCAAAAAAGCTAAAACTTAAAAAACTGGATGCTATAAGAGCTTTTCTTTAATTTAATTCAATTCAGTTTATCTATCAATCTATCAATCACACTATCAATTAACAACACATGTCATCTTAAGGCACTTTGCAGTTCACAAGATCATACAGTCAAATTGATTCAAAGTTTTCTATCTAAGGAAAACCAGTTGATTGCATTGACTCATGACTTGAAGGCAATCCCTCACACTAAGCATGCTTGTAGCAATAGTGGAGAGGAAAAACTCCATTTTAACAGGAAGAAACCTCCATCAGAACCAGGCTCAATGTGAGCGGCCATATGCCGAGGCCGACTGGGGTTAAAGGAGACAGAAGCAGGGATACAAAAGGCAACTGTAATGGGTGGCCCTGTCCAGGAAACACACAGCCAAGCAGACGAGCTCCGAGCCAACTCCCACGTCAGAGGATGAAGAGAGCACATCCAGGCAGTCACAGTCAAGGAAACAGGACTACACTGCAAAACAGGCCAATCTCCAACATCTATAAACAAAGTTGTTGATGGCAATAGCACAGCTAGATATTTCTCTCCAGGATGGAGTCACAGCCAGACAGGAACAGACGAGGCGGAGCTACTATGAGGAAAAAGCAGAGAGAGCATAATGTTAGAGATTGAACTGAAAGATTCTGCAGAGTGGGAGAATAGAGATAGAATGAAGGAGAATAGGGGTTCCCATGTCCTCCAGTGGTCTAAGCTTATAGCAGCATACCTATAGATAGGAGAGATATGATTTCTCTTTTTAATTTTCGTCAGAACTCTGGCTGCAGCATTTTAGGTCAGCATAAGGCTTTTAACTACAGTTTATGGACTTCCTGATAGTAAAGAATTACAAAAAAAAGCTAAAAGTAAAAAAAAAAAAGATATTTTGCATCACATCTGTAGTTTTCTTACTGGTTCTAAACTGTTTCCACTGACTCTGTTAGTCCAGCCTTTAAAGTCAAGTTCTACCCGCTCCTTTTTGCAGACTAATATCCTGTGTCCATGAAGTAAACCAGCCTGCATGACCAGGCTACCATTAAACACCTCAGCAGATCAAGAGCTGATCGGTATATTGCTGCAGTCAATAATCCATGAAGGGTCCTGACCAAATACTTAGCCATATAAAGCACATGAATATGTTTTCAGGGGGTAGTTTCATCCATCCATTTTTTTCAGGATGGTATGAAGAAAAACAATCTGGTTTCTTAGAACTTCTTATATAACAGAAACATAGGACCTTTTGGTGATAAGCAGAAATAAACAACAATAGATCCCTCTTTGTGTAATGATTATATCTTAAATAACCTTTTGTACATTTTTTAAATGATTTGCTTAAATGAAATACCTTTTTGATCACATTTAATGTTGTAATGTTAATGAACTGATATGTTTGATTCCCTTTTAGGCTCAGTGCCTCATTAACGTCAGCGGGGATGCAGTTGTCTGCGTCAGGGAAACGGACCCTGAACCCATGGCCCAGATGGTGAATAGTGGACAGACTTGTGCAGCTGATGGAACCTCATGACTCTGAAGATGTTTGGTTCCGCCAGCAGGGGGCACTGTCTGAGTGAACGCACTCTCCTAAAGTCTAGCCATCCAAATTTGTGGGAATCAATATTTGCCTTAAATTCTCAAAGATCCAAAGGTCTGGACATATTATAATAAAAATAATAAAAGACACAATTGCTCATGTGCTCAAAACGGTGTATTAAGTGGAAGCAGTTGCTTTATGATTAAAGAAAAATGGATATAGTTGAAAATAGCTGAAGGGGCTCTCTAAATTTGAAGTTTTTCTTTTATTTTTTACTCTAGCCGTCCGCACTGGGCCACGACCCAGGCTACACTGTATCAGCAATCTCCTCTCGTTTTGCACACATGTGGCAGCTAATATTATTTTGTCCATCTTTAAATCACTGAATTTCAGGAGCCATGTTAAAAGGGATGCACATATTTCTTCAAGCAACCATTTATATGCAGTTAGGTTCTTCCAGTGTTACGCTGTTTTTTTTTTCCCATTTCAATAGTGGTGCCTGTACGAAAAAATACAATCCAGCCAAGAAAAGGCTTTTGGAGCCAAGATTTCAAAACATGCTGTGTAAACATGTGACTTGTTTTTGTTTGTTTGTTTTTATTGGAACATTCTCCGGTATTAATGTTTAAATTTACTGGTATTGATGATTACTGCCACAGTATTTTTCACATTTTTTATTTCCTTAGTGTCAAAAGATGACATCAAAAACTAGTTCTATTAGTCCTGAGAGGGGTTCTAGTTACTTTCCTTGAATAAAAAAAAAAGTAGATCAAAGGTGTAATATGCAAATGTTTTATTAGATTAAGAAGTTATTTGTAGAAGATCTATTGTGACTATTTGATTTAATAGTTTTTTCTAATTAAAATTTCAAATTAAAGTAGCATGGCAAATATATTTATCTACTTCCAGATTTACTTCCATGGTGATATGTGGATTTTTACTAAAAGTAACTTAATGTAAAATTGGAAGTTGGGATTTACTAGTATCCTTTTTTTCATTCATTTTTTCTTCATGTAGCACCTATGTCAGATTTCATGTTGCCAAGCTTCATCGCAGCTGCTTTGGCACTTGTTTTAAAAGTCTCACTACCGACCTGCCCAACATCTGAAAAAAGCATCTTCTAGGGTTGGTGCTACGTAAAAATATACACTGTAAATGTTGTTTGGAGTCAGATCTGGGTTGTTCTTTTTTTGTTGTTTTTTTTTGTAATTTTTCTAACGTTTAAGAATAAAATCTGATGCCTCCACAGGGCATTCCTGAAGTCAAGAGATTTATTGGTACTCTAATCTGTGTGATCAGTAGTTTATTATTTTTGTTTGTGGCTAAAACTTGAATGTATATAAATCTATATGGATGCTTTTCCTCTTGCACTTGCAGCATGCAGAGCATATTTTTATTTCCATGAATCTCTATGCTTGCCAGGTGAGTTGCACAATAAACTCATGTCAAACCAAATGTGTCTGCTCCGCTTAAGTCCTTGTGGCCATTTATCTTCTCTATACTCTGTCCCATTACAGCAAAAAATCACATTTGTGTTTTGTATAACAGACTAAATTTGAAGTGAAAGGTGGAGGATTGTAACAGTTGTCAGTTGATTGGCACAGCTTGGTGCCTTCAGTCTCAAGGTGTCATAGAACCCCTTTTCTCAGCTGCCTTTGATGCATTTTTCTGTAAGATTTAAACATCAGACAGAATAGCTCTGATTCTTCTGTGCAAAACAAGCGCAGCCAGGTTAATTAGACATTTATATACAAAACGCCCCAGGTGCATTACGTTAACCAACCCAATAATTGTTATGCTTAAACTTTTCAAATTGAAACAAGGACATTTTTATTTAGATAAAATCTTGATGTTATGGGGTCTAAAATGCTATAAATGGTAATGGGTAGATTGTCAGGAACAAGATAAGATGGACTATTGATCTCACAGTGGAAAAATTGACTTGTCACATCGGCTCAATGGTCAAAAGGAGGAAAAAAATTGCATGTGGTATATACAGTGGATCAAGAATAAAAAAATAGGAAATAAGGCAGAGATTTACAGTGACTTATATACATTTACGGTGATTTATGCACATACGAATTTGGCGATGTACATAAGTAGCACCAGGTATAGAACAACAGTGAGGTAGTGAGATAACTATAACAGCTGAAGTCTCTTATTTAACAGGATTATTGCATAGGGTATGAAATAGTAATTGCATTCCGCATTGTAAAATCTGATGGCAGCAGGGATGAATGACCTGTGGTATTGCTCCTTTTACAAACAGGGTGTAAAAGTATTTCACTAAAGATGCTGCTCAACTCCTTTGCAGAGGATGGAAGGTGTTGTCCATAATGGATGGAAGCTTGGACAGCACCCTCCTCTCAGCCACTTCCTTCATTGAGTCCAGAGTGCAGCCCAGGACAGCAGCGGCCCTTCTCACCAGCTCATTCAATGGATGTCTTCATACTTTAATTGCAATTTACGCTTTATAAACTATACAGATTCCCAGAAAAATGCTCTCATTGAGGAAGAAAAATTTGTGAAACTTACTGGATTTATGACAGGTTGCAACCGTCCCAGGGATGGAGGTCAGCTGCAATAGAGGACTTTGTTTTTAAATGAATATTGTAGAAAACATTGTCCCATGTGATCTTTGTATTTGAATAGTAAGGGCAGTTCTAGACCTAGTTTACAAGGGGTCATGGATGGAGCCAGCATGTTTTCATGGTTGCACAGAAAAGCGTGAAACCAAAAACAGGGAAACAGTTTTTCATTTAAATATTACAGTAAAAGAGCTGCAGAACCAAAGAGCCACTTGAAACTCTGCATTGGATGAAGTGAAATTTCCATTTCATTTAAGTTTGATGCTGGTCAAACTGAACATTTTGATTTAATGTTAGAACATTTTAAATGTATTAAACTAAAATTAAAAATATATTTTACAACACAAAAAACAAACAACTGAAATAATTAATTGCACACTATATATTTACCAAAGGGTAAAATAAAAGTATTCCCTTGCATATTAGGCAAATTTATGATTCAATAAAATATTGAATTACACATTATTACACGTTTTAACTTATTTTACAGGGAAATGACTAGATTTAATAAAATCAGCATGAGAAAAACTGAAACAAATTATTATTTTGGTTCAAAACAACATTTAGCAGATGAAAGCTGTAATCCCATACCAATACGACTGAAGCTATCACTTTATTTTTTATTATTAAAAATCATAACTGAAGCAGAACTTTAGTGAAATAAAAATAAATGGTTCAGAGAACCTTATCAGTAACCAAAATTTCCCAGTGGTCCTTAAATGTTGCACGCGTTTGAATATACCAGCAGCGACATCTGGCGGCACATCTGTGGTACTGCAAACGTTCCGATTAATACGTGTCTCCCGCTTCTCTCTATTCCGCTTGTCCTGTTGCAGCTTCCTTCCTTTCTTCTGGACCAGCCGAGTTTGGGAGAGGCAAATCCAACATGGGGGACATCATCCTGCCTCGGCGCCTTTTCCTCTGGTGCATGGCGCTCATTTACATGGTAGCTTTTGTTTCCCTCTACGTTCAGGCACCAGGTGAGACTCTTTTCTCTCTGCTCGGCGGTCAGTGTTAGCTCTGCTAGCTGCAAACTTGTAACAGTGTTTACGTGGTGAGCAACCGACTGGAAACTTCTTTTTATCTGCGCACTGAGCTAAGTTTATAAGAAACACAACCTGTTGTAGAAAATAGTCACATAATAATTTATATGATATGCTATTTATTCTTTAAGCACATAAAAAGGTTTTATTTCCATCACTCTGGGTCATTTGTTTCCCCCACAATGCATTTCGGCTCAATTCCAAACCCGTGTCCCTATTTCTATGAGTTTTAAAAGTAAATATTGACCCATATTTGATAAAGCTGCAAACATTTGTTTGCAACAGAAGTGCCATTAGACTGCTGAATGTTATGTAAAAGGGGTTATTGTATTATATTTTATTATATAAAATACTGAAATGTTTATATTTCTGTTTTCATTTATTTTTTTTACTGTTTTCAAGGCTGCACTTTAAAAAAAATGAAATTGTCTAGAGAGCTGTTCTTAACTAAATTTCTTTTTGTTTACACTTGTGTATGCAAAATGACAAAATAAATCTGTCTAAGTCTAGAAAAATGGAGGGGAGAAAAAAAAAAGAGTCGATCCCAATCTCAGAAACATTCCTGTCATTCTTCATGTGCAGGTCTCTATGGGAACAATGGGCTGCTCCCTGCCCGCTGGCAGCTCCGCTACACTGGGAAGCCTCTGCTGGAACAGCTGCTGTCCTCTCCCACCCTGTTGTGGCTGGGGCCCCACCTGGGCCTGGACACTCAGACTGCCATGGAGCTGCTGTGTCTCACCGGGGCCGCCCTCAGCCTGGCAGCCACTCTGGTGGAGGCTCTCAGAGACAGCCTGGTCTTCTTCTGCCTCTGGGCTTTGTACTTGTCCATGTACCAAGTGAGTTTATGATCTCCTAAACCAGTTTTTTTTTTTTTTTTTTTGCTTTTATTTTCATTCATCTGTTTTCCTATTACAGGTGGGCCAGGTGTTCCTCTACTTCCAGTGGTAAGTGTGACTGCAAGACGTTGACGTTACAGCCCCACATTAAAGTGCGGTTCAAGCAACAGATCAGCACAAATTACTGCATCATCGTGAGGTTGAAACAGATTAATGGATTCTCAAGCTGAGGAGTGTCTAATTTTTCAAGTCTGGACAGATTCTTTATTTGATCTAGGTAACACATCTGTTAAGTAGAAGTATAGATACTGCAGTTTAAAAACACTGGTAAACGCTGAAGTATCAACTTGACCTATTTACTCAAGTAAAACTGAAAAGGTATGAGCTCCAAAAACGACTTAAAGTATAAAAGTATAAAGTAAAAAAAAAATAAATAAATAAAATAAAACAGCCAGATGCAACTATATGAATTGAAAGCTCAATTTTTCGACTATTTCAAAAAATTAGGGCCAAGGATGATGGAGGTTTTGTTGGTCTGCATCTCCCGATACGCTCACGCCTGTTTTTGACCTTTCAGACATTTCGACATCTTTTTCTGAATCCTACATTGTAGCATGGCATGGACAATTCACGCTTGCAGTTTGGAGAACACCTGCTTGTTCCTGATGATTTCCTTTAGCTAACCAATGAGTGTTTGCATTATATGACTCATCCTATTACATTAATTTTCACTAGATGTGGGTGGCGCCAATGATTTGCATTGGATGGAGCAAATAAAATAAATATTTATAAACATTAATCTGAAGCCAAGAGTAACGAGTAACGTTTGTTTTTAAAATGTAAGGAATAGAAAGTGCAGATACTTGTATTAAAATATAACAAGTAGAAGTAAGTAGGAATAAAAATAAGTAATGGAGTAAAGTATAGATACCTAAAAAGTGTACTTAAGTATTTGTACTTCGTTACTCTACATCTCTGAATATATGTTGATCAGATGTGCGTTGACGGGAATGTGTCTAAGGCTACGTTCACACTGCAGGCCTTGATGCTCAATTCCGATTTTTGTTTTTGTGAAATCCGAATTTTTTATTTTATTTTTTGTGTTGCCGTTGACATTTCCTAATACAGGTGCTGGTCATAAAATTAGAATATCATGAAAAAGTAGATTGATTTCAGTAATTCCATTTAAAAAGTGAAACTTGTATATTATATTCATACATTACATACAAACTCATATATTTCAGATGTTTATTTTGTTTAATTTTGATGATTACAAATGACAACAAATGAAAATCTCAAATTCATCATATCAGAAAATTAGAATATTGTGAAAAGGTTCAAAATTGATGGCCCCTGGTGCCACACTCTAATCAGCTAATTAACTCAAACCACCTGCAAAAGCCTTTAAATGGTCTTTCAGTCTAGTTCTATAGGCTACACAATCATGGGGAAGACTGCTGACTTGACAGTTGTCCAAAAGACGACCATCGACACCTTGCACAAGGAGGGCAAGACACAAAAGGTCATCGCTAAAGAGGCTGGCTGTTCACAGAGCTCAGTGTCCAAGCACATTAATAGAGAGGCGAAGGGAAGGAAAAGATGTGGTCGAAAAAAGTGTACAAGCAAGAGAGATAACCGCACCCTGGAGAGGATTGTGAAACAAAACCCATTCAAAAATGTGGGGGAGATTCACAAAGAGTGGACTGCAAGCTGGAGTGAGTGCTTCAAGAACCACCACACACAGACGTATGAAAGACATGGGTTTCTGCTGTCGCATTCCTTGTGTCAAGCCACTCTTGAACCACAGACAGCGTCAGAAGCGTCTTGCCTGGGCTAAAGAGAAACAGGACTGGACTGCTGGTGAGTGGTCCAAAGTCATGTTCTCTGATGAAAGTAAAAATTTTGCATTTCCTTTGGAAATCAAGGTCCCAGAGTCTGGAGGAAAAGAAGAGAGGCACTTCATCCACGTTGCTTGAAGTCCAGTGTAA